ATTTTTTTTGTTTATAAAAATAGCATCTGGTACATTATTGTCAATAACAAAAATGTCTGGCAATAAGAAATTAATGTTTCTAATAGTGTTTAAAAAATAGTAAAAAAGAAAAAGAATGTCTTAAAATTATTTAAAATTCAATATTTTTACCTGTAAAGGTGTGATGCGCAGTAATAAACGCAACGTTTTTCGGCAGCCAGGTAGCCCACACAATGTTCAAGAGAGCATAGGAAAAGATATATTAAAGAATCAGCTTTCTTAAAATTCTTGTTTTTCCGACGTTGCTAGCTCTCGTACTATAAACAATAACTTAAATACGGGCATGGACTCTACTGTAATGTCCTCATAAAACATTTCCTTTACTTTCACTGTGAAAAACTGTCAATTTTCAATACATTTCGATTTATAACCTTTATAGTTGTGTTTATAAAATGTAAAAATGTAACATTTGACAGTTTCCCCTGTTGTTTCATAAATGGCGCTCTATACAAATTTTTGATTTAAATCATTATTAAGTATTTGTCGTAGAAAAAGTATAGTATGCACCTCGTTTATAAACTTTTCTATACACTCATTAACTTAAGCATTCGCTCGCAAGCTCGCTCGTGCCTAAATTAAATTCGTGTATAAAATGGCGTTTATCAAACTTGATACATAATATATTATTATGTATATTACTAATTGTTTTTGTATCTACTGTAATTTTGTTATTTGAATGTCCTTTATTGTGAGAACTGTTGGGCAATAAATAAATTATTATTATTATTAAAAATAGGATGGCATAGTATTTATCCACCCTAGATACAATCTGAGTAGATCATATTTAAAGAGTCTCAAATATTTCTTTATTTTTTTTACATTAATTAAATTTAAACGAATAGTTAACTAACAATAAATAACAGACAATAATCTATTAAAGTATTGATTAAACAATTATAATGCAATAATATATAATAATAATAATGGCCTGCATTTTCAAAATAACTAGTATAGTGGACTTTTATTTTGGTTATAAAATTTCAGTGTAAACTGTAATTTTAATAAATTAATGTTCAATTCGGTAAAAATATTGCATGGACGCATTGTTGTACCGGTACCTAATAATACATTAACTCGAGCATTTTTGAATATAATGGTTAATAAACGTTTTATACGGTCTATACAGTACGTTTTTAATACGTTAAGTTACACGAAATTTAAATCTTTATTGATACAATTAAAACATTTAATGAGTATAAGCGTTAAGTTTTTAATTAGATCTATTTTAATTTACCATTTTATCGATATATATTTTTATTAACCTTTTTATCGATATAAACGAGAAATTTTAATCAAAGCAGCAATTTGCGAAAAACATTTTGTTACAAATTTATTTTGCTGCCCCTATTCTTCAAATTAAAAATTCACATTAATAAATTAACCCACTTTTATAGTAAGAATTGTACGGTTTTTTAAGTAATATATATGTATACATTTAAAAAAATATTTTCTTCTCCATACCTGTCGCCTGTGCCCTTTGTGTAATTTGCCATTTATTTTTAATATTGTCAACAAATAATGTAACGAATTAGTCGGTTTAACAAAATTATGAATGATTAATTTGTTTAATATCTGCTTGTTGGAAAGTTTAATTTAAATAACTTAATTTTAGTCAAATCAAACCTTCAACAAGTTTGCCTTTCTTAAGTACTTAAACGCAAATCTTATTTGGCTTCTTTTATCTTTTGCTAAGAAACCTAAAGAGCATTAAGTAATACAAAGTTAATTTGATCACCTTCATTATTTTACAAAGTTGCGGCTTTAATAACGAACCCGAGGTTTTATTAAAAATAATCAATGGATGAGTTTGAAATTAAATAATTTTTCATTATTAAAATTTAACGAAGCTACATTTTCGTATCCAAACATTTTATGACAGGCTGCGTGCTCAAGGTAATTTAAATATTTCATTTATTTAATATTTTACTTCTACAGGGTGTCCGGGAAAAGGAGGTCAATCCGTTAACCATATATTCCTTGAGTTAAAACAATAAGACTTTCATAATAATAAATTTAAAACTGATTTTTTTTAATAATTCGAGTAATTGATAAGATATTAAGTTTAAATTCGGTACACTACTTCAACATAAATAGTTACATTTTTGGAGACCAACAAAACAAAAAACAATTGTCAAATAATCAAAATAGGGGGGTCCAGTACTTACTGACTCCCCCTATTTTTTAGTACGAGCGCCAATGACGCCAAACGGTATTTTTTCAGGTAATCATTTATTGTTAAAAAAATTTGTCTCTTATAAAATTTTGATAAAATGATTTGTTTTAGAGATAATTTGTAAAGTATGGGTCAGTCCATATCAAATCAACCAAAGGTTCTTCCCCCACCATCTCCGATTTTGATATTTTTTGGTAAATTTGTTTACCTCAATAAAAAACTCAAAAATCCCATATATGAATTTTTTTCGATAGGTGGCTTTTGTTTTATTGATTTTTGAAAATCAAAAAATTCCGATCAATTTGGTACTTACAAAAATAGCGATATCTCGTAAACTGTTAAAATTGGAAAGGTGAGGCTTATTTTAAAGGTCTATTAGAGACCTTTTTTATGATATATCACATGACCTAAATTTAAAAAAAAAAAAAATTAAATTTTGAAAATTTGATATGGACTGACCCCATACTTTACAAATTATCTCTAAAACAAATCATTTTATCAAAATTTTATAAGAGACAAAATTTTTTTAACAATAAATTATTACCTGAAAAAACACCGTTTGGTAGTCATTGGCGCACGTACTAAAAAATAGGGGGAGTCAGTGAGTACTGGACCCCCCTATTTTGATTATTTCACAATTTTTTTTTATTTTGTTGGTCTCAAAAAATGTAACTATTTATGTTGAAGTAGTGTACCGAATTTAAACTTAATATCTTATCAATTACTCGAATTATTAAAAAAAATCAGTTTTAAATTTCAAACTTTGTCGCCCTGTATATCGAACATGAAGCTCTAAATTGAAAAATGGTATTATGAAAGTCTTATTGTTTTGACTCAAGGAATATATGGTTAACGGATTGACCTCCTTTTCCCGGACATATTTATTATTATTATATATGAGGACCCTATAAGCCAAGGGGTATAAGTACATTTTGTTTAGTTTTGAAATAATCATTTTTAAAGTAAAAAAACACTTGTAATTGGGGGTCAAAATTGTTTGTGGTTTTATGACTCGGTTTTTCAACATGTCTTAGCTTAGAATTCAGTTATATCCCTTGGATACCAAGTAAAATGTACCATTTACTACCTTTTTCTGTACATAACTACTTTTTTTTTTAAATGTCACTTGTATCCCTTGGCTTCTAGGGTCCTCATATATATTCTGAATTATATTCAGGGACGTACTGTATAATAAATATTTATTTAAAATGTATTATATATATATATATATATATATATATATATATATATATATATATATGTGTGTGTATTGCTGGTTTTCCGGGATCTGCTCCGTATTGTCGGTTTTTGGTTCTTAACTTAACCGTATGTCTGACGACGTTTTGGGTCAATTTCATGTAACATCTTCAGGTCTTACCTGCTGGGCTGCTGTTGCTGCTCTGCTGCGAGTTAGACGTAGAGTGAGCTCCGTTGCCGCTGATCGTTGTTTATATACCCTCTTAGCTTTTCGCGTCATTAACCGTTACTGCAATTGTACCTGTGTTTTGTTCGGCTCCATTGATCTCGTTAAGCTGCGTGGCGTTTTGGTGGTTGTAAGAGATGGTTTCCATGCAGTTGGTAGTCCTGTGTATCAGCTGTTGTGTTGAGGTTTCATGGACGTTTTTCTATTTCAATGGCTTCACGGATGGTACGTATGGCCCTTGTTTTTTCCAAAGTCAATTTCATGGAAAGTTTTTCGGACGTGTTCAGCTAAGGAAGATGTTTTTTCCTGTTTCAAGACTGCGCTACGATATTCTTGGCGTCGAACGTTGATATATCTAATGGTCTGTTCCACGTAGCTTCCGTCACAATTCTTACAAGGAATTTCGTATACCCCTTGTGCCTTTTGGTTTGGCGTTTGGAAGTATTTTACCGATCTTTCTTGGGGCGGTAGATGTGGTCTTAATGTTATGTTTTTTGAAAAGTTTGCCTATTCTCTCGGTTGTCCCTTTGACGTAGAGAAGGAAGGCTTTCGAAGTTGGTTTGTTCTCTTCATCTGTGGTATTTAACCGGCGTCGTGGTCTAAGAGACTTTTTAATGATGGTTTTGGAGACCACGACGCCGCACTGTGGGCCAGGATTTTGTAAAACATTAAAAAATATCAAACTCAACAAATGTATCAAATTTTATGGTTTAATTATCAAAAACAAAGAAAAATAAGTTAATTTCACTTATAAACAGTGGCCCAGGCAACGAAAGATTGTGGGACCAGAGTAAAATTTAACAATATTTTGCTATTTTGCAAAGTTTACCCACCAGGGCGAAATTGTAAAACTTATTGAAGATCTTGTGTTTTTTAATAGAAGATATAGGATGTCCAAATGGAAATAATTTCACAAATAGAATTTTAAGAGCCTATATATCTCTATAGGTATATTATTTATTTTTCAACAGTTTTTAAAAAAAAAAATGGATTTTCAAAGACATCTTATGATTAGTTTAGAAGACTAAATACAAAGTTTTGGGAGAGGTATGTGTGACCAAAAAAAATGCCTCACGGTATTTTTTAAGACTTTATATTGCATTTTTTATAATTATATATAATTATGGGATACATATAGTTAAATTAATTAAAAATCATTTTTAAAAAAGTGTATTTTTTATTAAATTATAAATAAAATGTATATTTACCCGAAGTGTACAACTTAATCCAACAAAAGCAAAACTTTTAAAAATCTGACAAAGAAAAGGGGAATAAGTCAGCAAAGTTAATTTATACAGGAAAAGGATGTTAAACGAAAATTAGAGTAAAAACTCTTGAATTAAATATGAACTCTTTTAATTGCAGATGTCTAAGTCAGACAGTAGAAAAGTGGTTCTTCATCCTGTCAGTTGGAAGACGAGCGGCCTCTTTAGATGCGAGGTGTCAGCGGAAGCTCCCTCTTTTGCATCTGCCCAGAGCGAGTCGAGGATGGAAGTTGTGTGTAAGTTACACTCCTGCTACAATTATTTACCCCCTGCATAAAGTTTACGTATTTTTGCTAATGCTTTCAATATTAATTTACATAACTACTTTTAATTATTCAGGTACTTCAAGTAAAGTATTTTAGATATAAATTTCGATTGCACTACAAATTTAATGATAATTTGCAACTTTATACTTTTTACATCATACTTTTACAATTAAATAAAATATTACAACTTATTTAATTAATGTAAAATCCATTTTAACAACATTAATCCCGGTGCATTCACCATTTATTTTACCGCGTTTTCTGAGAACCCTAATTATTAATAACTAACTTAATAGGCATAATAATGAATACATTTTATTTAATATCCATAATAACTATATTTTCAAATCTCGTAAAGCAAAAAATTCGTTAAAAAAGTTGTTTTTAAACTAACAAGTAAAAAATATTAGTCGACAAATCGACTTTATCTTCGGTAAAGTAGTTGATGTGTTTAGTTCGATATTTCTGAGCTTTTATTTTCTTCTAATTAAATAAAAACTGGTTTATTCTATTGCGGAGGAAATTATTGTATTTTATAAACAATGTGCAAGAGTAACGGCAACTTTGTTTAATGAGAGGTATGGAAATAAATGGCAGACATTTTCAACAGTTATTAAGATTATACGTAAGTACTATAGTATACTATAGTATCAATAAAATTAAATTAAATTTCTCGGCAACCTGCAGTACAAATTTAAAAAACGAAAGGTCATTTAAGGGGTTAAAGTTACAGTGAGGAAAATAATTTAAATAAAAAAGTAAATTCTCTCAAAAACTATGAACAAATGAATGTGAAAAAAATATGTGCCTTCCCAGCCTTTTTTAGCATAAGTGGTGGGAAATTTTATAAAATATGCATGCATGCTTATTAAAAATTTAAAAATAGGCACGCAAAATTAAAAAAATGGTCAAATTATACGCCAACGTCAAAATATGCACTATTTAATTTTGGAAAACAAGGTATACATTTGCATACAATTAACAGCCTTAATAATAACCAACCAATCCAACCAACCTTGGTTGGTTGAGTTGGTGGGTTGGTTCTCTAAATTATAATGACATCTCTAGTTATTATGCATACTACCTAAAATCTGTTATTAATCACGGTTTTCGGATATTAGCGGTAAAAAATACACATTAAATAGAAATGTTCTTAAATTATATTTAAAATAAAGATTTTTTACCAATATATTAAATTTTTTTGTATATGTTAATAAATACATAAAAAATGTTTATAAACAAAACAAAACAAAATTTAAAATAAAATAGATAACTTTTGTTGTTTTTTTGGGTCATAAAATAATTATTTACAAATATAATACCAAGTTTGTTTTTTTGACCAAAATTGCGTTTTAAAATAAAATTCAAAATATACAGCTTTAGTAACTTAAATTGGCAAAAAAGGACTGACTTTAATGTTGAAGAAAAATGTTTTTACTTATAAACGCACTAGCTTAACACCTAAAAACATAAATGCAAATAATAAATAATATAAATATAAATATAAATATAAAACGGCAAGTCTCAGGCGAATGGCATACAACATTTTATATTTAAGGCACAGTTTTACACATATAATATGTAACTATAATAACATTTTTAAAAGTATAAAGTGAGGTTAGGTAGCTCAGAGATGTAATAAGTTATCAATATTTTTATTGGTCCCAACGGTTATTTACAGACTGAGATGTAAAAACCTGATTTATCTAAATTTTTTTTACAGCCTAGAAGATAATCGATTACTTTGGTAGTAAGCGTTGACAATAATATAGAATAAATTATACAACGCGTTGCAACGCTTAAATACAATAGTAAATTATTATACGAGAGATAATGCGCATAATTTCAAGTGTAATACCATACTTTATCTACTTTAATAAGTAGATAATTAAATGATTTTCAAAAATAAATAAATAAAAAATATATATATATATATATATATATATATATATATATATATTTATATATATATATATATATATATATAATATAATACCTAGTATATTATTATATTATTATACGAGAGATAATGCGCATAATCTAGAGTGTTATACTATACTTTATCTACTCCAATAAGTAAATAATTAAATGATTTTTATGAACAAATAAATAAAATCTGACAGCTGTCAATGGTTAACCCCACTTTTTACTAATTTTAAATATTATGATAGTCGCCTTCTCCCAACTTAAAACATGATTGGTTCAAATCACAGTGAATATTGAAATGTGAATAATGAATTCATTTTTCCAGGGACAGAGAAGATAATAGTATATTATTATACGAAATATAATGCATCCGAGTGAATAATGCGCATTATTTCGAGTGTATTACTATGCTTTTTCGATTCCAATTAACTTATTTTCATTAAAAACAAAATGTATTATAACCTCACTTATTTTAAAGATCATTATAGTCGCCCCTCGTATATACAGGGTGAGTCATTTAACTTGAGACTTTGAAATATCTCAGTTAGTATGCATTTTACGAAAAAATGTTTTTAAATTTTTTAAATTACCTAAATGATTCGAGGGGGGAAATCAATCACTACTAAAATTGGTCCTCATACTCCTCGTTATAGGGGGAACAGGGGGTAACTTTAAAATTTCCAATGGAACACCCTATTTTTTTATTGCAGATTCGGATCATTCGACTAAAAATAGGTAGATTTTGTCTAAAACATTTTATATATTTGTAATAGATGGCGCTGTAGTGAAAAAAATCAATTTTGTTCGATTTTTCTTCTGTATACTAATTTTTGAATAAAATACTTGGTTTTATATTTTAAATTTATTTATTCTCAAAATGGTGGCCTTCGACTTCAATGCATTTATTAATTCGCATTTCATTTTAATATTCTGCTAACACTGCTCTGGGATATTCCCAATTCTCTAGATAATTCTCGTGTGCTTGCATAAGGATTAGCGGGCGTTGCTGCTAATACATTAATTTCATCATTTCCACCTGTGACTGTTGCTCGACGAACTCTTTTTTTCGGTTGAACACTCCCGTTTGTAGTAAACTCCTTGACTGTACGGTGAAACGAAGTACGTGATCGAACTTTATCCGGAAAACGCTGAGCGTAGATATTAACAGCATCATCAAGATTCCTGCCTGCTTCTCCATAAATCAAAATCATTTCTATTTTTTCTTCCACTGTTAAAAAATCCATTATGAAAGGAGGTCTTTTTGTTTGCAAATTAATCTTCGAACTAAATTGATTAAATAATTCTAAACTATAAATAGTTTCTTTATACCTCAATAATAATTATTATTTATAACCAAATACCATTTTTTGTACCTCAATTGGGATTAAATTAATTAATTGACAAAATAATGTTTTTTTTATCTTAAATAAGGTATTTTTATTAAAAATAGTACAATAATCCTTTAAATTAAAGGATTTAATGCTGGCAGGTAAAAAGTGACCATGGTGCGCAATTGATAATTATCACCGAATAATAATAATAATAATTATTATAATAATGTATAAAACTTAAACCAAAGGAAACTTAAATATTAGTTAAAAAATTTTAATTTAATAAGATAATTATTACCAAAAAAAGTGATATTTTTATAGAAAAATTATTGCAGAATCGTATACAGAAGAAAAATCGAACAAAATTGATTTTTTTTTATTACAGCGTCATCTATTACAAATTTGAACAAATGTTTTTGACAAAATCTACCTATTTTTAGTCCAATGATCCGAATCCGCAATAAAAAATAGGGTGTTTCATTGAAAATTTTAAAGTTACCCCCTGTCCCCCCTATAAGGGGGAGAGTATGAGGACCAATTTTAGTACTGATTGATTTCCCCCCTCGAATCATTTAATTTTTAAACATTTTTTCGTAAAATGCATAATAACTGAGATATTTCAAAGTTACAAGTTAAATGACTCTCCCTGTATAAAAAATCATAGACACACTTACATTTTAAATCGTACATTAAATTCTATAAATCAGTATTTTTTACCTTGCACTATAAAAAAAATTCAAAATTGTACAATGATGCTGTATATTTTAAAAGATGTATTTTACCAATAATTAAATTATTTTTATGTCAGAATAACATATATTTTTATTATATTTTGTTGATTTTTAATATATACAAGTTACTGTTTTTGCATAAAAATTAAATTTTTAAATCAAAATTTCCTTTCCAACATTATTTGAATTCGTAAAATTGCGTTAGTTTTTTAAAGGAGGAATTTATATCGCTGTCCAGCACAATCATTGTCTGTCTTACTAATGGGCGTAATAGAATATTTTAATACATTTTAGGTTGCTTACCAAACAATATATATTACCTTCTAATCATTTAAAATTTGTGTCTCAACGGGGCTTTCAAGTCCCACTACTTTTTTACTGCTTCAAACTTAATTTTAAAAATCTGAGACTTCTTTGTGCTGACGGGATCATCCGGTACACATTTAGATATTAGGTTAATTCAGCTTTAACGCACTAGATGGCGCACGAGCTACTTTACAACAGATTTCTTGACACTTTGAATGGATGCTAGGGCACATGTTCGACTTACAAGTTTGGAATCTTCCAGAATCAAAGTTACGCTTTTTCTTTGTATGCGAATACTGTGTTTTGGTTTAAAATACATTCGTTTCTGTGTGGAGATTAAAATAAGTGCAGTACGCGCGTAGGAACTATAACTTATCCGAGGTTTTAATCCTGGGACCTAGAACTGGTAAGCCTTTCGTATTTCGGCTACAAAATTCCGTAGCAAATTTGGTTCCTTTTTATAGTTTTTTGCATCAATAATTACTCGCCATGAGTTCCTGGAGAAGGACTCAGTTTCTAAGTGATAAAGAACTCTTAGCAGCAGCAGATGAAGCCGCCAGGGAGTTAGCATAATTACCGCTAGGTAATAATATTATCACCGAAGGAGAACTTAGTGATGACGATAACCTTCAGGAAGATGAAGGGACTAAAATCCTAGATAATGAACCAGAAATGG